CCCCCCCCCGGCCCCCCCCCCCCCCCCCCCGGCCCCCCCCCTTCCCCTCCATCCTCCCGCTCCCTCCCGCCCGCCGCCAGCCCCGCGCCCGCCGCCGCCACCGACCTGGAGCCGGCGGACATCAAACCGTGTCCGGTATCGACACATCGATCCCACCTCGGCGGCCATCTTGGGGGAGCCCGGTGGCGCGGAGGGGGCGCGGAGCCGCGCGGACCGGGGGGGGTCTGCCCGCCCGCCCCCACCGGGGACGGCCCCGCGCTGGGGAGGGAGGGGGAACCCCCCCGGTCCACCCCCCTTCCCCTCGGGACCACCCCTTTCCCCCCCGATCCACCCCTCTCCCCACCGGGACCACCCCCGAGCATCGCCCCCCGTCACTCCAGGACCAACCCCCCCCACATCCGTGGATCTCCGTACGGGGAAGGGTCGCGGAGCCCTCCGGGTGATGGTGGGTTTTTTTCCCAGCCCAATCGAGGCTTTTAGCTGGAAAATCGCCAGCCGGAAGCCGCCGGTTAAACTTTTCCAGGGTTTTTTTGGTTTGTTTTTTTTTTTTTTCCTTCCCCTAATCTGACCCATCCAGCACCTTTGACCTGCCGGGAATGGCTACAGCAAACACGCTCTGAGCGCTCCGCGGCCAGAAACACCCCGGGTTCAGAAACACGCCGAGTTCAGGCTGGTTTAGGGCTGCATTTTTAAATTTCTCAGTGCGGTGGGCTCTGAGGAATCCAAACAACTTCAGCAGAGGAACAGAGCCCACCCAGCAGCACCTGTACCTGGAATTCCCACTCTGCTTCCCCACCGCAGGAAAAGAACTTTACAGTTTCAGCCCCAAGTTGTCCCATAGCCTGTTGCACTGATCACCCCGACCCCCAAAGGGCTTGGACAATCAATTCCCAATCCCCTGGGAAGCGGTAAGCCCTCAGCAGAACCGAGTTTGCACTGAAGGGACCCCAACCATGCTGGCTGTGACTCGTTTTTGAGCAGAAAAGGACGGAGCTGCCCCTCGGGTCCTTTTTGCAGGCGGGTATTTGCAGACCAAGCAAGTGCAGCAGTTTAATATTCCTGCCAAGGAGCAGGTAACACCCCGGGCTGCTGTGCAGACATGTGCACGTCTCTGCTCGTGGAGGAGCCCAGGGGCTCCTCCCAGGCTGGGACACAAATCCACATGCCAGCTCCCCTCCCCGAGACAAGCTCATTCCCCACCACCACCCCACGGAGGGGGATATAATCCTGAAGTGTTCCCAGGGGTTCACAAGCTGCTTTGCCTCCAAAACTGCAGAGGATGAGGGCAGCAAGCAGCAGCCACCTTGTTCACCACTGTCCTGCTCCCCCTGTCTTACCTGTCACCTTTTGATCCCTGTACTCCAAAGGGCTGGAGGGAGCATGGACACCAGCAAACCCAGACACGCTCCTGTAGTGGTCACTCATAGTCCTTCACTGTTCCCAAAGCTCTCAGCTCCTTTTGGTGCAGCAGATCCTGCAGTGCTGAAGCCTCTCTCTGCATGTAGCTGGGGAAGAAACAGTCCCTCACTGCCCAGATAAAATTCTGTTGCTATTCCCTGCATTTTGCAGGACTCTTGGGATTCCACTAAAAAGCACCATTTGCGTTCCGAAGACATCAAAGAAAAGGAACACCCTTCAAACTGCTCCCTGCTCTGCAGGTGCTTGCAATTGTCACAGGGACAGGTCTGCTCCTGGGCCAGGAAAACTGTCCAAAAGGGTAAGGTAGACACCCAAAGTGACCTTGGCCCCACTCTGTAGCACAAACAGCCAAGAAAATGATCTTGTTCTTCTCATCTCTTGTTCTTCTCATCTCCTCCACTCAGAGAAACTCAGGAGTCGCTCACGATCCCACAATTGCAAAATGCCTCAGGCAGAAGAACAAGTGAACAGAAAATCAGAGTTCAAAGAAAGGATTTGCAGGAGCAGAGGCAGTTTGTGTCAGAGAGAGCCTGGATGTTCCTGCAAGCCCTGTCAGCTTCTTCTTCACCTCCAGAGCTGGCTGCAGAAGGGGTTCCCATGGCAGATCCTTCTCATGGTCCCACAACAAAAACATCCCCCTGGAACTGGGGGACCCCAGATGAAAATGCTGAGCTGAAATTTCAACCCTGTTGACATCAACAACAATTTTCATGGTGCTCTGAGACCCCAACCACATGTTCTGCCCCTCCTTGGGGACACCCAAGTCAAACCTCCTTACTTTGCTTAGGGAACCCAGGTGCTATAAATAGATTTTCTTACCCCCACAATCAGGGAGTAGAAACCACTGGGAGTCGTTGAGGTTTGTAATGAGATTGGGGTTGCTGGTGGTACCAGGCAGCTGCTTCACCTCTGGCTTAATGAGACTGTAATTAGCCAGGGGTGGGAGCACAGGCTGTGCAAGGGGAGATCCCACGTGGGAATTCATTTCCATCCCTCCCTCAGGGCCAGGGGGGGGTTTGCTTATAGATGGATCAGTAAACCAGGTGGGATGGGTGGTCTTTGCTGGGGGTGAGCTGGTTTCTGCTCTTTGATGCAAATGTGTCCTGTCTGTGCCAGCAACAGGGATTGTCCAGTCTGTCCATGACTAAAATCCTGCAGGAATCTGCTGCTGGACCCCATCAGGACAGGTCCCAGGCAGGGAGACTTTCTCCTGCGCCCACAAAGCTGATCTCACACCCATAAATCACCTCCCTGCTCTGCTGCCCAGGGAACAGAGAAGCCTGCTCATAAATCAGGAATAAAACTAACTTGGCATCTTTGGTGAGCAAATTAAATTGTGGGCTTTGGAGGAATGTTTCTGTTTGGCCGAATCATTAATAAATCAATGGGAGCCATAAGGAAGAGGAGAGGGACTGTGCCCTGTGCCACACAGAGAGCTGTAGGGTGGCACGAACCATCCCCACCCCTGTGTCCCTTCAGGCAGTGCACAGGGGCCCTGGAGCACCCCAGGGAGAGCAGGGAGACCCCGATCCTACACTCCCCTCCCATGTAGGGCTCACCCACCCCAGGGGACGCTGCGAGGCGCAGGTTAATAAATCAGTTTGTTTCCAGCCCGGTTTGCTTTGTGCGCCTGACAATAGACCGTTGTAAATGGCAGCCCCTTGCCTCCTCTACTGAAAGGCTTTTAATTAAAATATGGAAGGGGCTTTTCTGTGTACTTAAAAAAAAAAAAAAAAGGAGATTTCAGCACACTCCCATTCCAATTCTAGGCATTAATTTATTCCTGCCTTCCTGGCGTTTGTGATCCATGTCTTTGTGCAATGGTCCAGCCCCATTAGGCAGTCGAGGGGCGATGCTGGGAGCAAGAGTCATGTGGCAGTAGGGCTGGAGAGCCAGTGGTGGTGAGGAGCCAGTGGTGATGGTGAAACAGTTGTGGTGGTGAACCAGTGGTGGTGGTGAGCCAGAAATGATGGTGAGCCATCAGTGACGTGAGCTCACTCAGTCGCCTTGTCCCAAGGTTGGGCAGAGGGACACCAGGAACCCCACTGTGGGACAGTGGTGCCATCAGGGCAAGTGGGAATGTGTCAGGCCCTGGAACTGCCCAGGAACTCAGGCCCAGCTTCAGCCCTGGGCACAGAGAAGAAAGACCCTCATGGGGATGCAGACTGCTGCTCCCAGAACTCTATCCCCATCCCGTGCCAGGGAAGGCAGTGAAGCCCCTGCCAGCTGTCACTGAGCAGGTTTGGTCCTGGGGTTCCAGAAACCCTGTCAGGGGTCCTGCTGCCTCCCCCATGCCACCATTGTTTTGGGGGTCGGTTTTTTGCCTTCTCCAACAGGAAAGGCTGGGGCCATGCCAGGGCTCTGCCTTGCCCTCCAGCAGTGAGGTACGAGCCATCCCAGTGTCTCCCACATCCTCACAAATGATTTAGAGTGTTCGATAGTTGTGGATGCCTCATCCCTGGAAGTGTTCAAGGACAGGTTGGACGGGGCTTGGAGCAACCTGGTCTAGTGGAAGGTGTCCCTTCCCGTGACAGGGGGGTTTGAGCGGGATGGGGGTTTTAACAACCCAAACCATTCCGTGATAGCACAGAAGCCCATCACCAGAGGTGATGGAGCTTCATGACCATCTCCCCTCTCCTTGCAGCCCCTCTCCCCCACCCCTTTGCCCCCATCCTTCCTCTCCCCCTATCCCTTTTCCCCCCATCCCTCTCCTCTCTCCCCCGGGCCCGGGCAGCGCCCGCACCGCGCCCGTTACAACGTCGCCACCTGGCGGCCACCGCGGTAACTGCAGCACACGGAGGGGACACGGAGGGGACACGGAGGGGACACGACTGGTCACGGCGGGGACACCCCGAGGGGGACGCTAAGGGACATGGGGGGCACAGGAGTGCAGGGTGAGGCACCTCGGGGGCACAGCACCCCTCCGTCTCCCCTCGGTGCCCGCGGGATATGTGTTGAGCTGTGCCCGGTCTCAGCCCTCGCTGCCCTCCAGGATGCACAGTGAGGGTGCTCGGCCTCTCCACCAGCTGCCTTTCTGCCACGGCTACTTCTTTCCAGGCACATGCTCCCTACAATTAGCACATGCTTTTTAATTAATTTTCCTCTTTTATTGCTTTGCCCAAATTATCTCGACTCTGTTCGCGTGCGCTCAGCGGATAACGCTGCTATTTATGGCTTTCCCTGTCAGTGCTGTGGCTCAGGAGGCCAGGACAGAGACCTCTCCCTTGGGCTGCATCCTGTTGGCAATGCAAGGCACAGCCCTGGGACAGGTCAGGAGCTCAGGGATGGGGAATCATCTGTTCTTGTCCCCATCCTCAGGCCACCTACCCCCTGGCTCTGTTTGGTGGGTGGCAGCTCTTCCCCAGACCCCTGGGCTGGACAAAGCCTCCTGGCCACAACCACGGTGATATATCCTTCTGACGGAAAACAGAGCTGAATCAGGCAAAACTGCTGAATTAAATCTGTCTGGAAGAAGCTGTTAAACATGGAAACCTTCTGAACATGAAGGGGAGAGGGATAAAATCCTCCGAAAGCTCCTGAGGATGCTGCCAGCAGAAAGGGGCTGTGGAGGGGTGTGATGAGCAAGGGAAGGATTTTCCCAAAGCTCCACGCAGTGGGAACTGAGGTGCAGGGATGTGACAGAGGGCACAAAAGCCGACTGAGGCAGAGGAGATGAATTCCAGCCACCAGCCAGCACTGGGACACACAGGTCACCCCACGGCCCCCCTCAGTGGGAATGGGGTGACCACCACTGCCAGCTTCAAACTGCAGCTCTGAGCTGCACAGGAATCCATCCTTCTACCTTTAATGAGCTTTCTCCCTTTGAAAATAATCATTACCAATAAACAAATATAGCAGCCAGTGTATATAAGCATCAAATTAAGTAGCTACATGCATTTGTTATATTTGATATAGCCTTGTTAACTGAAATTCCTGGGTTTGGAATACGTATTGATTTCAGCAAACATATATTATTTTACTGTAAGTACCAACAGCCATTGTAGTTAATATACAACAGTTTAATTTAAAATGCATTAGTTTAATAAAAATGCATAAAACAGAAGGGAATTGCATTAGCTCCAATAAAAAATTCAATTTCATAAATATTATCCAGTGTTAAAATGCATTGATTTCCTGGGAAAATGTATTGGTCAGAGGTAATTTACATTGGTTTGGGTGGGAGCGTCCTGGTGTGTATACATATGTATTAGTTTAGTCAAATGTGTCTGATCACAGAAAAAAATATAGGTTGGAGCAAGGGATATTCGTAAGGAAATGGTGTGGAGCGAGCAGCGGCACGGGCTGGCTCTGGAGCATCCTGCCCCAGTGGTGTGGCTGTGCCGGGGCCTGGACACCCCCAAACCAGCTCTGTGGATGCTCAGACTCGGGAACACCACGTTGCTGCCGGGATTCCCGGGACACAGGGAGCCCATTATCAGCCCCGGGCAGGACTTGGCTGGGGCGCAGGGACACGTCTGGCTCAGGCTGAGCACACGCCTGGCAGAGAGCGGGGGTTAATCAAATCCTTTTGACTCCGTTTTTTATCGAGCTCAAGAGGGGCTGGCCTATTAATTAGAAAGGCTTTTTCATGTAAAACACAGGCTCTTTTGCAGATAAGAAGGGACGATGCTTGATTCTGCCGTGGCACGGATACGTGTGTTATTCCCTGACATCCATTCACGGGCTGCAGCCACTTCCCACAGCTCTTTTGTTCACTACAGGGCTCCAGAGGCACATATGGACATACAGACATATTTAAAGCACTCAGGTTTTCCTGGGTGCCAATAAGTCCCCTGATATCCACAGTGGGAAAAGGATACATACAACTCCTGGAGGTGCCTCCGTCCATAGGATGGACCGGAATCCTTGTGGGGAGCAGGATCTGGCCCGTGCAGCACAGAGGATTGCAGCTGACAGCAAGAAGCGAGCAGTGGAGCAGAGGAACTGTCTTACAAATTTCAACAGAAATCCAGGCAACCACCTGCACCCCATCCCATCCCAGATTTCTGTGCCCCTTCGGCACCACCAATCCCTTAAAGCCCCCAGTCACCATCTCATCCCAATTACAACCTGGGCAACACTGGGGAGAGACCCAGGTCTGGCCTCTTCCAGGCTGG